GGCTCAACATAGTTCTGCTATTACATTTTCTCAGCTAAAATTCAGCACTTCTAAATAACTGATAAGGACACACTTCCAAATGATTTATGTAGCAAGACACTTCAAGGAACATTTTTCATTTCAAATACTGTCACTCTTTGGGATTGGGTGCGTGCAAGACATTGTTCTCAGCTTTTCCTGAACATGTGTCCCCTGGTTAGGAGCTTGTCCTAATACTTGCAGATACAAATTGACTTCTTGTGCATGGTGATGAGTTGTTCAAAGCACGCACCGAAGTTCCTTCTGTGGGGAGGATCCTTTCTTCCTCAGCGTTACGCTGGTGTGCACAAAGCCATACTTTATTATTCATGAGACCCTTTTTCTGTCACAATCGAGGGGATTTGGAGCAGTACTGACCTATGACCTTTTCAACTAGCAGGGACGAATAATTCATAAGGGGTGAAAATGGAAGCAAGACAAGCCATCTGAGGCCTAGGCATGATTGCTTTCCAGGGGGACCTTCCCCRCTCCCCAAGGAGTCTCAGTTACGAAATGCTCCTCTGCACTAGCAACCTAATTCAGCTTCAGCTCCATCACAGGCCTGCAGCACTACTTACATCTTCAATAAAAATCCATTTTGCCAGTATGATAGGACATTCTGCATGATGGACAGACACTATTACCTCTCAGATGGAGATCTTACATTTAATGAGTGATGCTCAGCATGCAGCAAAAAGCATACAGGCGAATTTAGTTGCAAGCAAAATTAGGATTCCATTATTGACTTCTTTAAATTAAGTGCTTTCTATCCTGGCTGTTGTGGAATTCCAGTCACTATTTTATCCAGCTGAGGTGWCTTGAAGTTGATTCTTCTACCGTTCAAGCATCCCTGAGGTTGCAGTCAGTGAAGATGTTTTCTAAGAACCATCATTCATTTCAAAATACATTTTGGCTTTTGGAAAACAGCTGAGTTGGTTCTGCTTAAAGAACAATGAACCCATTATGGAAGGCCTGTAGTCTTTGATTATTAAATTAATAATACTGCTTATAAAATGTGATTTCATAGTCTGGTCTGCATGTCAGTGCACAATATGTAGAAATCTGTGCCCTMCTGGAGGCTTATAATAGTTTAACGACTCATAAAAATAAAAACATGTCAGCTCAGTGTGGAAGTCTGGTTTCAATTCACAAGAATTGACAGAAACCACAAGAATAAAGTACTACGCATGAAAAAGCTTCTAAGGGGTGGAATATATGCTACATTTACTGAAACGTGTAAAATTTGCACCTAAATTTTAAGTCGCTGCAGTAACTTAGGCAGTAAGCCCCAGATGCCTCTGTTTCTTCTCATGTCAGCAGASAGAAAGCAGGTGCTCCAGATGTAGGTGCCTCAGGTCTACAAGGAAAACGGATGCGTTTTGAGGAGACTGTTTTGCTGGGCACCAGCTGTTGCCTTGAGGTAGGGGACTGGATGCCATTCAAGAACTCCTGTAATTGAATTCTGCTTGTTCAAAGGACAGGCTATGAGAAAACTGTGTTGAATGGYTTCAAAATGTAGAATCCCCCTGCAAGCTAAATACCAATACTGATATGTTCCAGAGAAACTCATACCTACTAAACTGAACTAAATTCCTTTATTTCTTTTTATGAACAGAGCTATTAAACAAACAATGAAAAAGGAAATTTCAAGGACATGACATAAAGACACAATAAACCAAATTTACATCATAWTTTTTTTAAAAAGAGGCATACATTTGCTAGATACTGAAACTGTAGCTGTGTTATTTCCCCTATAAGAAATGAGCTTTGGCTGAATTTGCTGTTGCAAACTAGCAAGGGYCTGAGATGGTTACAGAGAGAACCACTCAAGGGCTGTGACAATGACATACAGGGCAGAGAGGAGAAGAAAAGTGAGGAAAGAAAAGGTGAGACATCTTCTTCCTGCAGCAGAGCTCACTGGTGAGTTTGGCATGCAAAGCCTCCCTACCCACCTTGCCCATGCTCTCAGCAACGCCCCTGAGCACTTCTGAAGCAGCAGTAGAATCAGTTTGCAGATTTGTCACAATGTCAAACCCGGAACAAGACATGCAGGGCATTTACATTTGAAATGCCAAATGCATTTTAGAGCAAAAAGATCTGAAGACAAGACTCTCACTGCCCTGAATGCCTTGAAGTAAGAGCTCATGGGGCCCACTGTTTATGCTACTCTGGCTGGCGTTCTGCCATGTGAATAAAAGAAAAGTGCTGAACTGATTTTCTGTCTAAGGCTGAAGCATCATTAATTGCTTCAGAGCCATGTCAGGTCTTAGCAGATGGCAGAGAAGGGACTGAATTTCTGACATTTTTAATTAAAATGTAACCCCTATTATGGGATTAATAGTTATATAAATGTAGCTGCATAATTTTAATGTACATTTGGTAAGAGGCAAATTCTGTACTTTTTGTAGACATAACTAAGAAGGCTTAAAAGCCGATGAATTCGTGTTGGGAGCTCTTGTGATTTTATCRCTAATCTTACAAGGTGAAGCATTTTTCTGTAGGCTGGGCTGCTCCYACAGTCAAGAGAGCASAGAGAAAATTTCAGCCCCACTTTTTTTTTCCCCTAGAGATCCACATTCATTGCAAAGTTTCTGAGGAAAATGTTTAAGTCCCTCAAAGTAGAAAACAAGGTTTCCAAAAACAGAGATATGTATTCATACATGTAAATTACACATTTGGGGTGACAGGGTGCAATGACACTTTTTGACAGGGGGAAGCCTCTTTTTGCTAAGATTGATCTGAGCCACCAAGGTTTGTCTTCCTCTGCCTGGATTTTGGCCAAGACAGTTTTGGCCAGCAGTGATAAAGGCATGTGCTCAGCTGCCTTGTCTGCAAACTGGCTCTATGCCCTGAGGCAGAACCACGCCCCAAACCTGTTCCTGCCATGCGCTTTATTATACCCCAGCCTTAGCTGAGTTTTTGACTTAGGCACCAATTACATGTTTCCCATCTGCTGCAAAGGACCCAACCAATCTTCCTGTGGGCTGGATTTTGATAATCATAACTTGTCACTGGGAAAATCAGACCCTTCTCGTCCTCTACCACTTATGTGCAAATGACACAATGATTTGGGAAATCAGTGGGGTTTCGCATACAGTTGTTCTGTTAAAATGGGGGAGAGTAATCAAGCCACTTTTTGTTTCATGGTCTAATTATTTTTTTKGTTTACTAGCTTAGAATGAATCTTCACATGACTTACAAAAAAGGGTRTGCATTGTGTTTCTCTTGACTAGCACAGGAACAGAAAAGCCACTGTCTATCACGTCTCTGTAAAGTCCAAATGTGTCAGTCTCAGTGCCAAAACCTGGGTGTCATTTCCTTGACAAGTTTGGGGCCCTYCCTCATGTGTGGTGCTTGTGCTGCTTCACAGATGTCCCCGTGCATCTTGGCACCCGTGCTGCTTTGTGTGGGGGYCATATCCACACCTTCACCCTCCTGCTGGGGGTGAAAGGAGGGAAGRCCTTACAGCACAGAAACCCTTCCCRGAAAAGRCATGAGGAAGAAAATGAGGGTTATTACAGCTGGACTGAGCTGCCTCTCTGGCTCCKACATGGGGATGGGCAGTGGAGGGTGGTGAGCAGCTGAGGCAGGAGCAGAGGTACTGCTCCACTGTGGCAGTGTCCTCTSAGCACGCTGTTTTGGCTGGCCCTGCAGCACACGTGGCATGCATGCAGGCACCCCGCCTCCCCCAGGGTCCCTGCAAACCTGTGCTGCAGGAGCCTGGGGCTCATGTCATGGGACACAGCAGGGTAAAGCCATTAAGAGTGACTTCATGGTCTGATGCACCACACTGGCCTCACAGGGGAGACCCACAAGCACTACAGATGGACATAAACAGGCATTTCTGCCYATGAAAGTCCCTACAGTTTGCTGCTTGTCCCTATCCCAGCCATCTACATGCATGACAGCATGGGCAGAGGCTGTAACATGGATTGCTTCCTGCTCTGGGCCACCACAGGGATGGCAAGTGATCCATGTTTGTCCCTGTATGGGGGTATGGATGTGAGGGGCCAGAAAGCATATCCAGGGAGAGAAAAAGGGGAAGGATGGCTTTTATCAGTAGAGAAATGATGGGTGGAAAGGTCCTGCCGTGCTTAGGTTATCTTGGCTCTAGCAAGCAGTATAGACTATAWGGAACTGTTCTATAAATCACTTGTGGGTGCTGATCTGCACATGCAGTGTGTAGATGACTGARCAGGAGGGCTGAGGCAGAAGGGCTTTGAGATAATGACGTTCTCCCTTCTCTTCTACACCCTCAAACTGAAAATTGCCAGTTGGACTTCCTTATCCATAAAAGCAGCAGGCAACTGCAAAGGGTTTCAGTGCACCCCTGGTGAGTTTGGCTTGTTTCTGTCAGGCCCCGAGGAGCAGCCTCTCGTAAGCTCCTTTTGGGACTTGTGGGGATGTCTGGGAGGATGCTTTTCTGCATCCCCCACTGAGATGGGGAAGGATGGGGTGGGTTGCACTCTCAGCATGTGTGATGATTTAAAAACTCCTTGGGTTTTTCTGAGTAGCAGCTACTTGCTTGGTACAACACTTGTCAAAGTACAGCACATTTGCTTATCCTCCAGTGATTTGTACAGAAATAATTATTCCAAAAATCTTTTTTTATCCCCAGTGTTTGAATTTCATACTGACATTGCTATCCTGCAGGGTAACAGATAGATTCAGGGTAATGGGATCACTCAAAATTACTGCTTTCTACAACAGAAACTGGTGCAACTGTTGCCTTACTTCWAACAAATTGTAGGATTACTTTTTGTTTTTAAAAGAATTGCAGATTTGTGAATCAAATTTGGCCTTATCCTCCAGCTTCTTACTCCTGCTTATTGATTAATGCAAGAATGGGAATGGCAGATGACGAATACTGTCACACCAGTGCGACGGCACCATGTGACCGCTTCACACAAGGGCGAGCCATTTTGGAAGAGGTGACACAAGGGCGTGTCACCTGCAGGCCACCCACCCCCACCCCACCTTACCTGGGCCGGGGCGCTGGAGGAGAGGTGGGTCAGGTCCCCGATCCTGGCAGCTGCGCGTGGGTCRCTGGAGCTGATGAGGACGGGAGCGCTGATCTCCATGGAGTGCCGGTTGCTGGCGGCCTGGGAGGATTTGTGTGTCATGCTGAGGGCGGTGAAGGAGTGGCGTTTCTTGGCGTTCTTCTTGCCTTCCACCTGCCTCTGGGCTGCTCCAGCCGCCCCCGCTCCGGCCAGCGTGGAGCACGGTGCCAGGCCCACCGCCGCCGCTGCAGCCGCCACCGCCACCGTCTCTGTCGCCAGCGGCATGTCACAGCCAGAGGCGGCGGCCGAGCACGTCTTGTCCATCTCCATCAGCTGCTTGGCGGATTCATTCAGCTGCGTGGGGAGGAAAAGACAAAAACGGAGTTTGTAGAGAGTCATAAAGTTCCCTCCACTGGAGATAAGGAGGCTATGGGGACCTTATTTCTCTGTACAACCACCTGAAAGGAGGCAGCAGCCAGGTGAGGGTTGACCTCTTCTCCCAGTTAACAACTGATAGGACAAGAGGAAATGGCCTCATGTTGGGCCAGAGATGGTTTCGATGGGATATTAGGAAGAATTTCTTCACTGTAAGGTAAGGGTTATCCCACACTGGAACAGGCTGCCCAGGTAAGTGGTGGAATGACTGTCTCTTGAGGTATTTCAAAGACTTGAAAGACATGGCTCTACAAGGCCATGGTTTGGTGGGGGCTTGGCAGTGCTGAGTTARCAATTGGACTGGATGGCCTTAGAGGTCTTTTCCAACCGAAATGATTCTATGATTCTATTAATTTATGAATTATCAATTTTATGAGGCTAGGTGAATTATTTCCATCCACTTGTTAAGGCAGGGAAGATCAAAAGAGGCAGAGTAAACATCCAGAAGAGTTAGGCTAGAACCAGGTATCATAAATTGGTCCACATCAAGCCACAACATTTCGAAATATGACATTCCCCAAAATTGCTTGTCCCAGGCTGCTGAGTCAGAGCTAGGGGAAGGAGGCAGGAGCCTCTTCCTCAATATTTTGCTATTCCCRGCTCCATCACAGCCTGTGCTTGACATTTGCCACACATGGTTTTGATCCAAGTGTACAGCTTCCAAATCCTTCCAGTTTCATCTCCCTGCCTCCCACCTAACATGGGTTATCAAAATGCAGATGCAAACTGAAGGCATTTTTCCCAGCTGTGTCACCTAAATGTTGGAAGAGCTTGATGGCTGCTGGAAGACTTGCTCAGGGTTCAGCTTGAAAAAGTGGTCTCATCAGTTCTCTTGAAGGGTTTAAAACTTGACCTTCAGCCCATGAACACCTCACTAGGAGGCTCAGGCCAGCTTTCAGCCCGCTGTTCCTCGTCCAATCCATATTCACAGATAACCTGGTGTCTGCAGGCCAGGGCCTTCTGGGTGCACAACTCTGTCACTGAAGCCTCCTTCCTCCCAACCTTCATAACTCATCCAGGAAAGCTGCACCTTACATGGCTRGAGAGTTTTTAGGTGCACGGGGATGCTACAGTCACTAATGATACATGAAGTGTACTCTGAAGTCAGCAGTGCTTTGTGCACAGCACTCATTGCCAATACATCCTCCCTCGAGGGGTGTTAACAGCTGATGGAAAATGCTGCATTTTGCCAACAGACCTTTATGTTAAACTAGGATGCACCGCAATATGTTTGCATTTAATGAATAAAAACAACATATGAAATAGGGAGCCCCGACTAATGCACACATGCTTTTGCATTCACTGCTGTTCCAAGACCTACATAAACCAGAGGTGTATGCAATACTATTCTGGACTAAAACTGGGCTATGTTTTGTTCTAAAACCACTTTTATGAATTATGGCAGCATCCAAGAAACAGYTGAGGACAAGGTCTTCCAAGGCTCTAAATGAAAAAAAGAGAACAGTTGCTGCTCCAAGCCAAGCCAATTTAGAAACCTAACACAAGTGAAAATAAAAGGGAAAAAGAGAGGGAAGGGAAAGATAGAAACAGAAATGTGCAGTTAAACAAATGTGTAATTACATAGTTTTATAATCCCCAACCACTGTCACCATGCTGTGAATAAAGAATAGATATCGTTAGCCTTAAGYCAGTCCTCCTAAGTTTGAAAGCACTTCTGCCTTTGCGAGGACTCCTTCTGTGTAACAGGCAAAAAACACACTAACACCTACAAAGTACACATCAACTTGCAGGATCCTTCTTTCTGTGACAGCTTCACCAAGTCAACCAAGAGCCTCCAATTAATGATGCTCCACCACTTTCAGAGCTGCTGGGAGTCCTGCAACCATTCAATTAGCAAGTCATTTTCCCAGCTGCGCTCTCCAACTTGAGACCACGCTTACAGCCAGCCTAGTGCACTGCACCTGCCAATTTTTGCCGAWAACAGCTGATCCTATTTCAGATTCTTCAGAAATGTCCATTATTTCCCACTTCATCTTGCTCTAAATTGGTACAACCTAATATTTGCCAGCAGGCTCCAAGTTGCAAGGAAACCAGATGGCTCCCCTCCCTTAAGTAGGTGTTACAGCTCCTCTTACCCCATTGATGAAGATAGTCTAGCTGAATGACTTGAAATATTAAGGAGAAAAGGATAAAGCTATCAAATATGTATGACTCTTCTACAGCAGAGGGTGAGGAATTTTTTGCTAATCAACAGCCAGAAGAAAAAAAGAATATATTTTAACCCTTTGAGATAAGAAAAAACAGAGTTAAAAAAAAACCAAACCACATTTAGAACTTCTGATTTTACAACATGTTCCATGTGGACAATGAAGTGYTCCAGCTCTTGATATCAAGCTCTGAATCTCTTGTAAGAATTAGATTATAAATCCCACTGTCTGGAATCCAATTTAACACTGAAGCTGTTCTTTTCAAAACAACAAAATCCTTTACCTTTTTGTTGGAAGCAGCACCTAGTTAAAATGTCAGTAAGAGAGCAAGCATCTAAATATGAAGTGATAAAAAAAATCCTGCATTGATATGAACAAAAGTAAATCTCAATATCGGTAAAAGATTAAAGACAAAAAGAAAACACTTTCTCAACAGTCAAGCTAATGAACTTTTGAGAATGTCAGAGGCTTTCTGAAATACTGGGAAAAAATTATTTTGGGATGCCAAGATAAAAAATGTTTTATGGTCTTACGACTTTATTTTTGTAGAGAACTGTTTTTAAACAGCTTTGCCCACAGATGCTGGAAAGTACTTCCCAAATAGGCTATGAATACCAGAGAAAAGTCTGCTTACTACTTTGTAAAAGCAAACAGTTCTGCCTTTTCACAAAAAAAACTTTTAGAAACCGTTTTTTAAACATAAACATGATTGCAAATTTCTTATTTTAAACTCTGAATATGTAAACAAGCATTGCTTTCTGGTGTCTGTCATCTGATCTTCAGGCAGATTTGCTTCCAGATGAGAAGCCTAATGGAAAATTCTGACCCACAGTCAGTGTCAGGAATTTGACATTTCTGGATGTCTGAAGCTTTTATGACAATCTTGAATACCAGAACTTAACTGTCTTTCTCAGTTTTGATCCCTTCTCTAGAAAGAACCTGTATTTGAAATTCTGGTCCTGCTAAGCCCAAAGTGACTTGAGACTTATGCCCTTGTGACTGCAGCAAGGCCGATTTTACCCAAATCCATTCTTTATAAAGGGGATGTCCTAGAAAACTTGACATAGGATTTAGAGGGATAAGGCTTGGATTTGAATGCCTAACCAGTCAAACATACCCAGCAGCCCTGCAGTCCTGTCTAGAAATGCAAAATCTTGCAATGRCAAGTCTTACATTATCTGAGGGACCTTATAATGCAAGAAACGTGATCAGATGGTGCAGTAAAACTGTTCAAAGGGTCCCTGTGGCTATTGGCTGTGAGATAAGGATGTACCAGTTCTGGAGCTACTGTGCCTGTTTCTCAGGAAGATCTTCCCCAGCTGTGAGAAATGGTACTGGAGACCGCGGCAGCTCATTTGGTTTTGGGAGGAAAGAGGGGTGCAAGTGGAAAACCTCTGTGCACAGAGCCTTGTTCACCTCCAAACATTTTCCTACAATGGGAATAGYAATTAAGTGCTGCTCATTAAAAATTCAGTGGCCTTGATCAAAAAGCCATACTCTGCTCCCTGTCACAATGGGAGCTGTCRTGACTTCAGCATCCAGGCAGAGAGTCCATGTGATAGGAACTAAGGGAGAGGTTTTATCCTTCTTCTGGCTTTTCGAGATGACTATTTTAGATATTCTGCTTGAGATTTTACCACATAGGTGACAAATATTAAGCTACATCACTCAGGATTTCTCCACTGCCAAAATAATTTTTTATTTGTCTCTAGATAAACCTATTTTTTTTCTGCAGAATGTGTTATGGCGACTTTCAGTCTCTGTTGCATGTGCTTGCACACACATTCACACACACACTTGTAATTTCTAATACATTTAGAAAAGCACCATCTTTAAAGGGTTTCAACATATTTCTCTTTTAAGGATGAGTAGATACAGGAGAGAAACTGTTGTCTGCACTGACTATCCCCACGTGGGACCAAATATGTTCTTTATATCCCAATGTGACTTAATGAACTACAGGTTCAATGGGCAACATTATGCACCTACTTTCATRTCCCAGATGGGATGAAGATTAAGAAAAATCTATTTCTTGTCCATTGTGGGTGATAAAGTTTGAAYCTTGAACTAACTCAAGGTTTAGTTCAAATAGCAAATTATTACTTTGGAATTTATTGTTGTTATTATTTCAGAACAAGAGAGAAGCATGGGAAATTAAGGTCAGATTTAAATAATTAATCTTTACTACATCTCCCTTGACAAATATGCCAGTGCATTTACTAATCCATGTTAGTGGCAAAATTATTCTATCCAATTTAGAGTTTCAAGGGACACTTTGATACATCGTGGTCACAACAGCAACTCCAGGGTTGTGGCATTTCGCTGATGGTGCTGTCTTCTGTAAGACAGAAAGAGGAAAATCCTGCTATTCAATACTCTTGCTTTCTAGTAATTTATGTCTGGATAAGGTATTAATTTCTGACTGACATGTGCCCTACCAAAGAGAGGACCTCATTGTGTGGCTTACAAACATACTTCAGCACATACTTGATACTGTGCAGACCAAAGAGTTATTAATATGTGACTAAAATGCCATTCTTCTCTAAATGAGAAAGGATTGCCTAAATTCTCAGTTTTACACATGTGCTTCAGTGTTTCGATAAACAGAAGCCAATTTGTACCAGAAAGTACAGTTTATTAGGACTTTCATTTGCTACAAGATCATTTTTTTTGRTCTTTATGGAAACTGTTAGCTAAAGAATGGTGCTGTTTAAATACAGGTAAGATGTATTTAAAAGATCAGAAGATGTA